GGATAAGATATGGTGTTCTAGTGATGAGAGGATTATGGAAAGAAATATGCAATTTAATGGGTAACTGGGCTATCAAAATACTTATTACATTAATACAAAGCATTTTATTGTTTAAATTAGGCTCTTGGCCTTTCACTTGGCGAAATTTACTTTCAGTTGTAAATATTGAGAAATGAGCACACTTAACTTTCAAAGAGTTACCAAAGAGAAAACAGTTGGAAATGTAAATATTTGCTTGTATGTGCTAGTGAAAACTATTTACAGTGTATCTGTCACTATAACAACCACCAGACACTACAAAACGAAATAAAATTACACATTAAATTACTAATACCTTTGCCTCTTTTAGGTTTTGAATAACATTTAATGCACAGATGAAAGACATGTCTCTTTGTATTTATTTTTTTACAACTCAACCTGACCATTTAAAACTTAAAGTAGTTTTGTTTTTTACAGGATGGTGACAAAAGTGAGGAAATTGTCGGCCAATGTGATTTTGAGCAAACATTTTGGTATAAATAAAGTCCTACTTACAACTTCGCAGAGTTGTTTTTAATCTAAGTATTTTGCTATATAGTCTTTGGACTATAAAGCATGCTGAAGCACAACATTGAGATCCTCAGTAGTGTCAATGTCTATTATTTGGCGTTTGACTCTGTGTTTTTGAAGTTGCCAGATATTTTCTATATTTACATCTGGGGACTTGGAAGGACACGGTAAAAATTTTCAAAGTGTAGGAGCCATAACGTTTGTAAAAATGGGTCATTTAACACGAGACTCAAACTTGATCTGTAAATCCTCCAATTTTAATAGATAAACCAAAAGCAATTATCTACATGAACAGCAAAACAGTAAACTCTTCGTAATAAGTATTAGGGCCATAAATTTTGTAAATTGGGTCAATCGACATGAAACGCAAACTTGATCTGTAACTTATCTATACCAAATGCCATACATATACCTAAAATCAGTTCATTATCTACAAGCACACCAAAAAAAGTTCGGACATCTGTGAATAATTCTTAATGTGTTACTCGTTATGTCAGGAGATATATCAAAAATCTAAGTAAGATATCGCATAAGTCTGTTTCGGATATGTGCGTTGCTCGATTGTAATATTTGGAGTTTTGTCTCCATAGATTATTATTTTATACGTTATTTTATGAGCTATTTATCTATACATGCCAACAGCTAAGACTCTATGCCCTTTTCAACAACTGTAGAAGAATCGGCATACGGTTCATGTACGATTGATGGTATATGTATTGAGCCGGTTAAATTAGTGTCAAAGTCGAGTGAACCAAACGGAAGCAATTCTGCTAAGTTATTGCTAGCATAAAATCATCAACAACAGGATATCATGTTGATAATAAAACTAAACAAGAAATTGGAAATGGTGAATTTGTTGATTTGAGCACCATTTTTGTAGGCAACCCCAGTTGTCCATTTTGTCAATGAACTCACAAAGACAAATTATTGCTGCTTACTCCAAGTAAATATAGAAATTACAAATCACAACAATTGATAGATTGATCTATGTAATCGAATTCCTAAATTTTGCAAACATTTATCTCGCATCTTTCACGAACAAACACAACGATTAACTCAAGAGTGTACATAATGGAGAGGGGAGGGGGCACAGGGTTGAGTCACAAACAACTACCATACCAATTATGGAGCAATAAATCCATTTAATAATTTGTGTAATTCACAAGGACATGTATATCATATACCTGGCACTTAGGGTGTGTATTGGTTATCAAAAATGAAATGAAAGACTCAATGGAATCACGGTAGTTTCAATGTATTTTTTCAATGTTTTCAAAAAGCCCTCGATTTAAAAATGAAAATATATTATGTTAAAACTCTAAATCAACAGTCCAATCGCAAATTCAAATTTTCGCGATTTGACGTCCTGGTTTCATTTTGCGATGTTAACTACTCACATAAAATAAGGGCTGCACAGTAGTTTTAGCCATTTAACTTTGTGGATGTGATATTTATAAAATCATATTAGTCTTGTTAAAAAGAATCGAAGGTTGACAAAATACATGTATAACTTAATGCCTTCTTTTGTTTAATTGGTAGTTTATTTTAGTAACAAGGAACAGTAGATAAGGAACAGTATACATGTATATGGTACATGTATTAAAATTTTGAGAATACATGTAGATGTAAATTGTATATATTGGCATATTTTCATTTCAATACACAACCCTAGCTGGCAATATCCGTAATACCCACAATTGCCCCATATCACAATTAAGTATTTTGATAATCATTACATGTGCATATGCCACATATAAGCACACTGCTTTGGAAGGTGAACTAACTGTCCCCGCTTTCGCAAAAGCGAGGGGACATTAAAATCTCATTTGTCTGTCAAGTCTTTCCGTCTGTCCGTCACAAAAACTTTGACCTTGGCCTTTGAATTGGGCATAAAATTTGAATTAGAAAAGACAGGGCTTACATATTAAATATGTACACTACCTGTGAGAAGACCTTTCCAAATGTTTATATTATTTTATCCCGTAACCTACGTTTCAAAAATTTTATCTTTGCTTATAACTTTTGATTGAGAAAAAGATAGCCTTTCATATTTGATATGTTACTCACCTGTGACAAAATGTGTCCGAGCATGCTATGATTTTTGACCCCTTGACCTTCATGTTTGACCTAATTTTCAAAAATGTTAACTTTGGTGATTGCTTTTGAATGACATATGTACGATGGCCGATATCAGCCATGTCATTCTACAGTTAAATTAAGTGTAGAATGTCAGTGCTATGTACAATTTGCTTTGTCAGGTTACTCATTGTTTGAGTAAAGTGTACAATGTGTACACCGAAATTTCAGCACTGGTGATTGCTTTTGAATGACATATGTACGATGGCCGATATCAGCCATGTCATTCTACAGTTAAATTAAGTGTAGAATGTCAGTGCTATGTACAATTTGCTTTGTCAGGTTACTCATTGCTTGAGTAAAGTGTACAATGTGTACACCAAAATTTCAGCACTGTCACGGCACTCACATTGCTCGGAAGATGTGGATTGTATACATGTGTTATTATTTGACAGGTTACCCCTAGTCCTATCTGCAATTAAAATTCTTCAAAAACATAAAAACAAATCCCTGCATCTGGAAACAGCAGTAGGGGCAAAAAGTATGGTCAAGGAGGCAATAAAGCTTTAACATAAAGAGAAAACCTTTGGTACGATAAAAGATATATAAGACCAAACCAATAATATTTAGAAGAATATTTGTTTGCTACTGTCCCCATTCTTCTTTGAAATTAAATACTGAAATTAATTTCTTAAAGACTGGGTAACACCCCCTGTCGTAAAAAAAAATTCCAGAATTCGCATTTGTTGTTATTTCTGAGAATGATTATTTCTCAAAAATATATAAATCTCATTTTTTTAATGAGACGTTTCTACTCTTAAAGATATGTTTTCCCCTAAAAAAAACAAAGTACGGTCATGTACCTTTCAAATATACTAATGTTTGTCAATTGATTAGTTGCTTCGTATATATATAATAACATTGATGTTAAACAGGTTGTCCGCGAGATTCAATAATTCAGTATATACACGTATACATAAAGTGAACATTAATTTTGTTTCTTTGTCATATTACACAATTATGAAATTTGTTAAGGTAAAATACATGTACTGCAGTATACAAATGTGTATAAATCCTACAAATCTGATTTAATTTCATCACATTTTTGTTTTTTAAAACTAAAAAGGGAGTGTGCATTGTTTCACGATGTACTCGATCACAAATCAGTTCATAGATGGATAAGGAATAACAAGCATGGCTTTAGCATGGCTTCCACTTTATTGAACATGTGACAAGGGAGCATTCATTGTAGCATGCATAATAATGATAGGGAGTAGTCATTATATATAGAATACTGTTACATTCCTCTTTCTTCAAAATGTTAATTTTACAAAGTTCTGCTAATGCTGACACTTTACTGTCCTTGAATGATTGTCCATTTGAGTGTTTGAAAACTATGATCAAATCACTATTAAACATTAAACAAAACAGTGTGTACATTCAACATGCAATATTACATCATAGATCTAGAATGAGAAATAAGATTTAATAACAATCAAGACTGACTAGCAAATAAGCAAATACAAGGCTATTTGCCCTGTTAAGGAGACTAGGGATTATTATGCCCTCAACACAGTCTTCCTTTGCAAACTAAACTACAACAGTAAGTTTTAACTAAGGCAAGTAATTATTGACATGAAGTCTAAGTTAAACTTAGAAATAGGTAGACGAGGAGTTACTATTACCTCTTTCACTATCTACCTTTGCCCTACACATCACGGTAACGCTTTGGTTTCACAACTACACGACCACTACGTGTTTTCATTGGACTTGATGATACTGGTTGCTTGGGACGCTGAACGGTTACGGAATCTTGTGTAATTCTGATGTTGGTGGAGCTGGTGTTGGTTCATTGCTGACTATTATAGGAACTGGATCATCATTACACTGTGATCAATCGCAACTTCTCGGGCCTTTCCGACTAGCGGAAAAACAACCTCGAATGTATTACGTAGACGCCATGACAACCCCCCTTTTCACAAACTTTGAAATAAATGTGAGAAGACCTCTTATCTGTGGAGTATAGAGTTTAACTTTATTGACTGTAAAGATATTACCTAAAATATACTATAGAAGGGACTTTTAACTCCGTCTTTCCTATATTTAAATAAATAGGAAGTTGAATAAAATTTTAACATCCGGTGATGTTAATACATTCGAGGTTGTTTTTCCGACCTCTTACGGAAAGACCCGAGATGATGCGATTGCACTGTGATTGTTCAATCAGCGGTTCAGGCTCTGAATTTTCATGATCAGTATGGAATGGTTCTCGACTAAATCGGAGATGACGTCTATTGCGACGGTATACACGACCATACTCAGTTCTCACTTTGTACGAACGTATATCACTCTGTTCCTGAACAAATGTTTTTTTTTCATCCCTTTTCATTTCCTGTAGGTCTAATACGAACGGTATCTCCTTCTGATAAGGGTTTCAGCTCCTTAGCTCCTCGACTATAGTAGTATGTCTGACGTTCCTTGCGTTCATAAAGCTTTTCCCTGGTGCGGTCAGCAGAACGTGGTCTGAGTAGATGTTCAGCTACTGGTAATTGCGTTTTGGTGCGTCTACCAAAAATTCGTTGTGCAGGTGAGTAGCCTATTACTTGAGTAGGCGTATTGCGTAGATCCAGGAGCGCCAAAAATGGATCTTTCCCGTCCATTGCACACTTATGAATAAGCCGTTTGGCAATCTTTACAGAGTTCTCGGCCTTGCCATTAGATTGTACATATCTAGGGGACGATGTAACATGCTCGAATTCATAACTTTTACTGAATTCTGCAAACTCTCCGCTTCCAAATGGCGTTCCGTTGTCCGATATTACACTATCTGGGATTCCATGACGTGCGAACTGCGATTTCATCATGCGAATGATTGAACTTCTGTTTTACAATGAAGTCTCTCCACCTCAAAGTAATCTGAATAGAAGTCTGCAAGTATGAGGTAATCTTTGCTTTCACATTCAAACAGATCACATCCTATTGTGACGAATAGGAATCTCATGGCTGATCATAGGCTCCTTCTGTTGATCATCCTGGTAAGTATTACATGCAGCACATTGACCAGTGAACGATTCAATGTCCTTCGACATATTTGGCCAGTAGACATAGTTCTGGGCACGACGGATATATCCTTGGATACCAATATGAGAGTTACGTATACGCTGTATTATACTATGTGTGATAGATCTAGGAACAACAACTCGCTCGGCCTTGTAGATGACGCCGTTTTGAACGACTAACTCCTCTCTAAACGGAAAATACGCTTGTATATCAGGGTGAACTTCTTTAGAAGAGTCAGGCCATCCGTCAAGTATGATCTTCTTCAGCGACTGTAGAGATTCATCCTTTTCTGTAGCTTCCTTTATCTGTGAGTATCGTTCATCAGATATTGCTAAGTAGGTGCGATGGTTGATGCTGTGTATGTCATGCATGTTCTCTTCAACTGAATCAGAGTCAGTGATAAGATAGGCCCTACTTAAGGTGTCAGCAAAATACATCTCTGTTCCCTTTTTGTACTCGATGCTGTAGTCAAATTTCTGCAGTCTTAATAGCATTCTCTGGAGACGCTTGGGTGCATTATGAAGGTTTTTACGTACAATAATTCCTAGGGGTTTATGACCCGACTGTATCGTAGCATGTCGTCCATATGTATAATTTTCAAAATGTTCCATGCCAAACACTGCAGCTAAAGTCTCCTTCTCTATCTGTGCAGAGTTCTGTTCTGTGGCTGTCAGCGAACATAAAGCATATGCTATGGGATGATTATCTTGCATAAGGCATGCGCCTAGTCCAGTAGAAGAAGCATCACATTGCAAAGTCAGTTTCTTCTTTGCATCAAAGAATTTAAGAACAGGTGCACGAGACAATGTGTCCTTGACCTTGTCAAATGCTTGTCCGTGGATATCCGGATCCCATGCAAAATGAGTCTCTGCTCTCAGAAGATCTCGAAGTGGACTGGTGATCTCAGACAACTGTGGTGCAAAACGTTGCACAAAATTTGTCATTCCCAATAATCTCTGAACTCCTGCCTTGTCTTCTGGGGTAGGCATTTCATGTATCGCCTTGAGTTTTTGTGGTTCAACACTCAACCCATCCTTGCTGATCCCATATCCAAGATAAGTGACAGATGTAAGCTTAAGTTTCATCTTACTCTGATTAAGCTTTATGTTTCTCTCCATACATCTCTTAGGGCTCGAAATTTCACATCATGATCCCTTTCAGCCTCTTCGTCTGTCTCACCACATCCGTAAATTAGCACATCATCATGTATAGGTCTGATACCTGGAATGCCACTTAGGGAGTCGTCCATTCTCCTCTGGAACTCCTCAGGTGCGACCGAGACACCAAATGACACCCTCAACCAGCGATATTTGCCCCATGGCATAGCAAATGTAGTTAGATAGCTGCTATCACTATCAAGCTCAACATGTCAAAATCCATCCTTTGCATCAACAATGAAGAATATACGAGCTTGATGCAATTCGGGTAGAATATCCTCTATAGTAGGTGTTGGGTAATGGTTCCGCATTAATGCCTTATTGAGTGGTTTCGGGTCAATACATAGGCGAATGTCACCGCTGCGTTTAGGAGCCACTACTAAGGCAGATACCAAGTCGGTTGGTGTGTTAACCGGTTTAATGACACCTAATTTCTCTTGTCGGTTTAGCTCTTCTTTCACTTTTGGTTTCAAGGCTAACGGTATTTTCCTAGGCGGTAACTGTACAGGTCGCACACTGTCCTTGACCTCCAAATGAAGCTTGCCATTCAGTTTACCTAGATCCTTGAACACATTTGCATACTTCTCATTTATTTCTTCTTTAATGTCAATCTGTGAAATGACGTCATTCTGAACTTGTGTCTTTGTGAGGAATTTGTCAGTATCCACAGTAATAAGTTCCATTCCTTCAATAGCTCGCTTACCCAAAATACACTGTAGTACTTCTTTCCATTACACGGATTTCGAACAGACATTCTAATGGTGCCCAAAGCCTTGGTTTCTGATTTGTTGTACATCTGTAGGGTAACATCAGTTTTCTTAAGATTCTGTAATTCTTTGTCACCTGTGAGACGCACATACACATGAGCTGACAAGATATTAGCTGTAGACCCATTGTCCAACTGAAACTCCACATATTAGTCATGGATATTCATAACAGCCGTATGACGTTTTGATGATAGCGAGTGCACTTGTTCAATACTAAGAACGAGTTCATCTGATGAGTCACTTTCATGAGTCTCAATCTCATGAATTTGGGACTTTCTGCGGTTCCATGTACCACGACGTTTTTCATGACGTTTTGCTCTAGGAGGCTCTTTATTAGGACATTTCCTCTCAAAATGGCTCTGCTCGCCACACAAGTTGCAAGTCTGTCCAAACGCTGGGCATTTCTCTCGACTGCGCGGATGTGTTCTCCCACAGTAACGACAAGACTGAACAGTTAGTATGGATTGTGTGTGGTTGTCTCTACGTTTCTCATTTTTACCACGATTATCTTGTTTCACTTTCTGTTTGACCTTGACATGGTGAACATCTGCAATAGATTTGAGTTGAGATTCAGATTTCTCATTCGACCGGCATATATCTATGCAACGCTGAAGGTCCAGTTTCTTCTGTAACAACTTTTTACGGGTATGGTTATCTCGAAATCCGATAACGATACGATCCCTTATCATCTCATCCTCCATGTCTCCGAATTTGCATGTTTTCGGTTGTGAACGCAATTCTGCAACATAAACATCTATATTTTCAGACTGTTCCTGATTTCTACAGTTAAATGTGTAACGCTCATATATGACGTTGGTTTGGCCTATGCAGTAATGTCAAGTGCCGTAATAACCTTATCGATATTCTTCTTATCATCCTCTGAATCAAATTTTAGTCCAACTACAACATGTAACCCATCTGATCATACACAAGTGAGGAATGTTGCACATCTGAGTTGGGTATCTCATTCCCTTAACCCCATAGCGATCTCATAGTTTTCCCACACTCTTTTGAAATGTTTCCAACTGGTAGAGAGGTCACCTTTCAAATCTAAGGGCTTATGAAATGGTATATTCATCAGGTTGGGAACAATTCCCCTGTAGAGAGATCATCTCGCTAGAGCGCGGTTATCCCTCTCTAGCGGGAGAAAATACATCTCGGAAACCCGAGATTTATATTCCGATTCCATCTGTAAACGTGTTAACTACCCAGGGGTTGAAATATACGGTAGCCCGACGCCCGGGGCTAGTCATTTTAAGACTCGGGCTAGCTAATTTATAAGTAAAGATAGTCCGTCGGACTAGCAGACCGGGAAAAAAATCTCGTCAGTTTACTTTCGTTTTCTTAATTTGGAGACTGTTTTTTTTTTTACTGAGAAGTAGTTTAATTTTTTTTTTATCACCAAAGCGTTTGAAAGCAAGCAAATAAATTAACGCGATAAAGCATTTTAATCACATTAATCAAAAATGAGTAAGCAAACAACGTTGTTCGCATTTACCAAAAGTTCTGACGGGAATGAGAGGAAAAAGGTCAGTAGTGAGTCAGATAACGGAAGTATTAAAAGATGAAAAGTATGATCATAACAAAAGAAAAAGAAAGTTTCAAGAGAGTTGGAGAGAAAGATTCCCGTGGGTGGAACTGGAAGTCCAGTCTCAATCTACAAGTGATACTGATAACGGTGACTTGATGTATTGTAATTACTGTAGGACCTTTCCTGAATGTGCAAACAAAGCAAGTGCTTTATTCAAGGGAACCAATAATTTTAGAATTGATCCATTGATTTCTCATGATAAAACTAGTGAACATTTTGTTGCAAGCAGACGCTATTTTACAAAAAGTAAAACTGGTGACCAAAATAACAATCGACTCGAACTTAGAAATTCGAAATTCAAGTGAACCCTGTAGTAGTGGTGCTGTTGATAAATACAAAGAAAAACTGTTACCTACCGTTTCTAGCACAGAAATTGGCAAAGCAATGTGCAGATTATCAGAGGAAGAAAAGAAAAAGATGACCATACTTTTTAACACAGCTTATGCAGTTGCAAAGAATGGAAAACCCTTTACTGATTATCTCTATTTGTATGAACTGAATATGTTGAATGGTTTGGATTTGGGTGGCCAGTATAATAACATTCATGCTTGTGAAAGTATTGTTGAATCCATAAGTCAAACATATCGAGAGAAAATTCAGGCTGAAATTCTGAAGACAAACTGTGTTAGTATTCTGGCAGATGGTTCAACTGATGCTGCTGTAATGGAACAGGAAATTGTGTACTTGCGGTAAGTGTTTCAGTATGAGTATTTTCAGATGATAAACTGTTCTTGTCAGTGGGATTAAGGAATTGTATAGCAAAATAATTGAAAAAAAAATTGCATGGAATAAAAAATTGGTAATATAAAAAGTCTGCATCAATTCATTATTCTTTTATTCTATAATTATTTATTAGGTATGTTCAGCCATATTCTGGAGTTCCTGTATGTAGACAAATAGATATATTTGCTGTTCAATCTTCAGATGCCTCTGGAATCCTTGCTGCATTGCACCAGGCTGTAGAAAAGGGTGTGAATATCCACATGAATGATCTCCATCCAAATCATGAGGGAACACCATTTCTTATAATGGCCAATTTTGATGGAGCATCTGTTAACTTTGGGGCAAAGTCAGGAGTTGTTGTGAAACTGAAGCAAGATTTTCCAGATCTGTTATCTTTACAATGTGTTGCACTTAAATTAGAATTGTCAATTTTAGATGCTGTAAAATGTTGGAAATACCTCAGTGATGTTTTTGAAAAGGCTATTAAAGGAATATTTAAATTTTATCACTATTCTCCAAAAAGGAGAGAACTGAAAGCTATTGCAGAGATACTTGACAAGGATCTAGTGCATTTTTCAAGTGTAAAGCAAGTCAGATGGCTTGCCAGCAAGTCTAGAGCTCTTGCTGCTGTAAAAAAAAATTTTTGAGCAGGTTGTTACTCATCTAGAGCACAATAATTTGTCCAGTAAATGTTTAGAAAGTTCAAGCAAAGCTCTAGGCTATGTGAAAAAAATTAAATCTGTCAAATTTGTGAAGGTTTTGCATTTTATGCTTGATTTTTTTACCTATTGTGGCAGATATGTCAAAAGCTTTCCAATCTGAGACTGTGTTGTTGTTTGAAGTACCAATACTTATTGAAGGGGTTATATTGGCTCTTGAATCACTAAAAACAAATCCAGGAACTCATATGCAAGAATTCCTAGATAGGTTTGATAGTGAGACATGCACATATAGTAGTGTCAAGTTAACAAACAAAACCCAAACTCTGACTTACACTGATGATCATGAAGCCACCAAGTTTTTGTCTGATGTTATCACTTATGTGACAAAAAGGTTTGGAACATTGTACCAACCTCCTTTCTCTTTCTTTAGCATTTTCAATGTGAAAAACTGGCCAGTCCTCATACCTGAACAATTTGGAGTTAGTGAGTTGATGTTAATTGTCAATCATAAAAGCTTTTCATTTTTGTTTACAGAAGAAGAAAAGTCAGTGATTGTATCACAATGGTCTCTTTTAAAAGCTAAAGTAAGACACCTCAGACATGTACCATTAGTTGACGTATTTTCTTCAGTGACTGCTGAAAACAAAGTGAAAACAATCAGCTATCTCTCTATTGATTATATAGTGAAAATACATTAATTCTTTGAAAATCTTCTTCTCTGCTCCTGGGTATTAAATAAACTAACTAAGTACATAGTTATGATAAGCAAGAGTGTCTCTTCCAAAATTGTGAATTTCATGGCCCCTGGGTCAGGGGTTCTGGTGTTAGGGTGGGGCTCTATTGATTATATAGTGAAAATGCATTAAATCTTTGAAAATCTTCTCCTCTGCTCCTGGGTATGACATAGAGTAACTAAGTACATAGTTATAATGAGCATGGCTGCCTCTTCCAAAATTGTGAATTTTATGGCCCCTGGGTCAGGGGTTCTAGTGATAGGACGGGGCTCTATTGATTATATAGTGAAAATGCAATATATCTTTGAAAATTTTCTTCTATGCTCAGGAGTATTAAATAAATTAACTAAGTAATAGTTATAATGAGCATGGCTGCCTCTTCAAAAATTGTGAATTTTATGGCCCCTGGGTCAGGGGTTCTGGTGTTAGGGCGGGGCTCTATTGATTATATAGTGAAAATGCATTATATCTTTGAAAATCTTCTTCTCTGCTCATGAGTATTAAATAAATTAACTAAGTACATTGTTATGATGAACATAGTTGCTTCTTCCAAAATTGTGAATTTTATGTCCCCTGGGTCAGGGGTTCTGGCTTTAGGGTGGGGCTCTATTGATTATATAGTGAAAATGCATTAAATCTTTGAAAATCTTCTCCTCTGCTCCTGGGTATGAAATAAAGTAACTTAGTACATAGTTATAATGAGCATGGCTGTCTCTTCCAGAATTGTGAATTTTATGTCCCCTGGGTCAGGGGTTCTAGTGTAAGGGCGGGGCTCTATTGATTATATAGTGAAAATGCATTATATCTTTCAAAATCTTCTTCTCTGCTCATGGGTAAGAAATAAAGTAACTTAGTACATTGTTATGATGAGCATGGCTGCCTCATCCAAAATTGTGAATTTCATGGCCCCTGGGTCAGGAGTTCTGGTGAAGGGGGGGGGGGACTCTATTGATTATATAGTGAAAATTCATAATTTCTTTCAAAATATTTTTTTCTACTCCTGGATATAAAGCAAAGAAACAAGTTTATAGTTATGATGAGCAAGGATGCTTTTACAAATTTTTTAAAACTTGTGGTCCCAGGGGTTCTGTTGATTCTCTGAGAGGGGGGGGGCTATTGATAATATAGTGAAAATGTGTGAATTCTTTGAAAATCTTCAACTAATTGCATAGTTATGATGATGAGGGTACCCCTTCCAAATTTGTAAATTTTCAACATCTGGACCATTTAGTCAAGTGTTCTGGTCCTGGCCAGAGCTCTATTAATTTGTATTCTATTGAGTGAAGTTATTCCCCTTTGCCATTCACTTTTGATAATTAATCACTGTAGATAATGTATTTGAAAGGTTAATAGATTGAGAGAATTATGCAAGAACATTTATTGTATAATATATAAAGTACTTTCATAGTTTTAATAATCAGGTAGACTTGGAAATAATAGATAAATAAAAATGAAACAAAAATAACTTAAGTGAGGCCAATGTGAGGGGTAATAATGTAGACATTTTGTTAAAAGTCTGCATGGTAATAGTGATAAATGGGGGGCAGATAGAAAGATACTAGACCAATTATTTTGTTGATCTTAATCATACTAATTTTCTTGGGTAACAATTAAAGCTTCATTTATCAGTTTATGGATCCTCTAAATTGTTGTACTCAGGTGACCATTAAGGCCCTTGGGCCTCTTGTTAAATATTTATTGTCTCTTCTCAATATATTTGCTTTGAAATATTGCCACGGTTGCTGTATACCTTGGAAATTTGAATAAGATCATGCACAATTGTTTAGACTTTCTACGGAGGACTACAAGTGATAAATGTCAGTATGAGTAAACTTGCTTATTGCAGATGCTCATATATCTTTCGCGTTATTTTTTTAATAACCCGGTTTGAAAAGCGGGGGGTATGTAGTGATGAGGTCTGTCTCTAAAGCTGTCCGTCCGTCCATTACGATTTGGGGTACCCATCTCTTATCAGCAACTCCTCTTATACC